GTAGCGATGCCCTTTGTTCCTAATAGCTTCTTGTTACTAGTAGTAAGAATGCTCCTAGTAGCACGGCCAGGAGCCCCTAGTAGCGTCCTTGCTCCTAGTGAGTAGCGATGCCAGGAGCCCCTAGTAGCGTCCTTGCTCACTCCGGATAAAAATTGTGTTTATATTTGGGCCTGTTTTGAAGGGAAAATGAAAGAAAGATTCCTGAGGAGATACTGCTGCGGCAGATACGGAAAGGTTTGCTAAGGATGTTCGTTTGTGGCGGGCAGCAGGGCATTCCTTGAGCAGGCATTCCTAGATCTGGATGGCACGATGTTCTTTTTTTCAGGAATTCTTGGCAAAGCTGCTCATCACGCTTCACTGGCCCGGCATACAGAGAAACTTCAGAACCGAGAGTTTCTCGAGACAAACGTCAAGTGTACTCCACATGAAATCAACCTGCTGTTGTGTCACTTGCCAGCTGGGCGTGAAAGCCAATCCTGCAGTCAAGTCTCATGCCTCATGTGCCTCATGGTGCAGAAAAGTTTTGCCAATCTGGAGTAGTGTCATGTGATGTGATGCAAAAATCATTCATCCATCTCTGTTCCGTCTTTGCGGTGTGCTTTTCGCCGAGGTGGGGAGATGTGGACATCAGTAGCCCTTTAGCCATCCTTCCGGAGGATGGATATCGAGCCCGGCTCTCGGATGGGGAACTTGCAACTGTGGGAGCGAGCACGCTTCTCGCATATGCCTCTTTCTCCGAGAGGGCCGCGGTCAGAAGATGTTTGTCAATGAGCTAAAGACTGAATTGACCTTTTTCTGGAAGACCCTAAAGAAGGTGGACACACGAGCAATTCAATTTTCCTTCTTCGTCTCCGTGCCCATTTCTTTGCATCCAGAAGTGTTTTTACAAAATCTCAGAGAGGGATGTTCCGTGGAACACTCAGGAGGCCTTGGAGAAGGTCGGGCCCCTCCGTCTTCGGTGCATCGCGGTCAAGAACTGTGTTTGAGCTTCGACATCTTGTCAACCGCGAGTCGGTTGGCTTCAACAACTGCAAGAAGTGAAGAAGAGTTGAGTTCAGCATGGAACAGTTTTAGAAGGGATTTGCATCTTTGGCTGGCACGCACTGATGCAATTGCTGACAGGTGATGCAGTCAGAGGAGGGGCTCTTCGTGAGCCATCCCAATTCACCCTCGTGGTTGGCCAATATGCCGCCACACTCCAAGGAGCTGAACGACCATGTGACACATGCTTACTGCTTACTGCTCTTCCGCACATGAACACTTTAGGTTGGAGGCCATCGCTACTAGGGTGGGGGACAGTTGGATAGCTGTCAACATTGGCTTTGGATCTAAAGAGTAATTATTGTAGAGCGCAGTGGTGGGAGATAGTCGCCTTTCGCCTTGTGCTCCATTCTCAAAGTTTGTCAAATTCCTTTTAGGCACTTGGATTTTTTTCCTCATCGCCAGGACGTCTTCTGCGTGAACATGTTCTGCTTAGACCAGGCGTGCATCATGGGGACCAACAACAGCTGCTTCTTTCGAATATCACTTCAAAAGTGCTCGTGATATATCCTCAGCCAACTGCATGCCCCCAAGAACTTCTCCAGCTTTACGAAAGAGTCTAAGGGCTTTTGCGCCTCTTCTACTTCAAACAATAACAAGAAGCTATTAGGAACAAGTGCCACACTAGTAGTAACAGGTGCCTTACTAGTAGTAGCAAGAAGCTACTAGTAACAAGTGCATCGCTACTAGTAACAAGTGCCTTAGTAGTAGTAGTAGCAAGAAGCTATTAGAAACAAGTGCCTTAGTAGTAGTAGCAAGACGCTATTAGAAACAAGTGCCTTAGTAGTAGTAGCAAGAAGCTATTAGAAACAAGTGCCTTAGTAGTAGTAGCAAGAAGCTATTAGAAACAAGTGCCTTAGTAGTAGTAGCAAGAAGCTATTAGAAACAAGTGCCTCAGTAGTAGTAGCAAGAGCTATTAGAAACAAGTGCCTTAGTAGTAGTAGCAAGAAGCTATTAGAAACACTTTAAGCGTTCGATTCATCCGGACCCATCCGGGCACTGCGGCACCACGCGGGAGGCCTTTCAAACACAGGCCTTAGACTTCCTCTTGTGCCTTGGCAAGTCGGTCTCAGTCGACCCACCCGCTGGAGAACTCGCGTCCCCTGGTTGTTTGATGGTGCTTTCGTGTGAACTGGCGTAGAAGATCTTCCAAAGATCATAGATGTTGCATTTCTGTAGTTCCTAATTGATTGGATTACAGGGAGCAAAATTATGAAGATTGTATTTTTTGAAATTACGACAGGAAGAACAAGATTGTCCCTGCATTCCCTTTGCACCCTTAAAACGCTAGGGATGCCCTGTGGTAGATGCTTTATACACTGTTCCTGCACAGCAGCTCATCCGTTCCGCCTGTTGAAGCTTAAAGGTAAGGCCGAAGGGCGTGTGGGCATGAAGGGCCACTAGATGCCCAGTCCAACAACATCCGTACAAGGCCTGCCTTCTCCTTGTTCCCCGAGAAGGACCGTCCGTTGGGGAGAAAACAAAACAGTACGCTCATGAAATTGTTTAAATAGACAATGCAAGCAAAGCATAACAGTATAAAACATGAACCCTTTTCGGCAGTGCTTTTGATGAGAAACAAGAGGTCCTGCGTGGAAGACTTCTCAGTCCAGGTGTCCAACTCTAGTGTTCATAGTCAAACGAATGCTTTCGTTGTGAGCTCATCATCGAGTCAGCTTCTCTTGTCGCGAGCCGCATCTTTCCGCCAAGTCGAAAAAGATGTTCTTGCAGCAACGACTCCAGGACTATTGTATCGTTACGCAACCTCACACGGCTCCCAACACGCCGCTGCTCAATGCGCTGGGAAGCCCAGATGGGAATTCTTAATGGGCAACAAATGGGAACAGGGAGATGGCCTCCAACCTAAGAGCGATGGCCTCCAACCCAAGCCAGAGATCCTCTGGCATTTCCGGAATATCCTCAATTTAGATACTCTCGGTTTTCATCGGTTTTCACTCCGCGAGTCAGGCCATGGTTGGATGTGTCTCTTGCGTCAATGTTTCTCCGCTTATCAGACAACGATGCCAATTTCCGCTGCTGTGTAGTTTTGGGAAAGAACTACTTTCATCAGGGAATGATCACTTTCCGTGGTTGCTCAATCCTGGTTTCTAGCTCTTGATGGCCTTTTTTCGTTAGTTTAACAACATCGCGGCGAGCACGCCCTTTTTTGCACTGAGGTTCACCATTGTGCCGCCTCAACCGCAGAACACCTTCGGGCACGTGCTCTACTTGATCCATCGGGCCTCTCTCTTGGGCCCGCCCAAGGTGGGAGCGATCGGCCGCTCTGACGGCGAGTTCGCGGCACGCGCGGAGGTGTGGAGGCCATCGTTTTTAAATCAAAGGTTCAGGCATGTGAGACTGGTGTAAGTAGCCAAAAGGCAAGATGTGGAGAGGAGTCCTTTAAAGCACCAAAAAGGACATGTGACATGACTGAAGCCGGCCACAGGTGGTCTATTTGAAGCCTCATTTGCTGGAGCACGTGCATCCACTCCTAGACGTGTTCGAAGAAGAGACGCGACAGGAGAGGCTGAGTGTGATTTGGGACTCACTATGACTCACTTGAGAAACTAAGTCCTTTGGAAGCTTTTCAGACGCACGTTTCAACGCTTCTGACCAAGATAACCTGAATAGCCTCTGCAGTCTGCGGTGCTTCACCAAGATGTTTGTTTGAGGACATCATCTCCAACTCAAAGCTCTTCCTGCAGGCTGGGTACGGTCCCAGTAGGTCATGAAAAACAACACATCACAAGTGCCCTTTGTGACGTTGGTAGCGTCCTCTTGCTCCTAGTAGTAAGGCCAGGAGTGCCCCTAGTAGCTTCCTTGTTCCTAGTAGCGATGCCCTTTGCTCCTAGTAGCTTAGGATTCATAAGGCATCTCCCACAATTAGACATATTAGACCTTCATCTCTTTTCAGACGGGGGCGTGTCCACCCCATCTCGGCCATGTGTCATGATGTTGCACCTGCCGAGGAGCGAAAGGGCAGCGAACTGGAAGTCTTTGTGGTGGAGTTTGATAGTCAGGCACCACACTATGAAAAAGGGCAGACTGGA